ATAAACAAAAGAAAAAAAACTGCACAAATGTAATAAATGAGTAAAGAGAATAAATAAAATAGAAAAAGAATTTTTATTAAAATCATTAAATTTTTTTTTTTGTTTTGGCAAGAAAAAAATAACATTTTATTCAATTAAAAAAAAATTTTTTTTTAGCAACTTGATTTCAATCTTTTTTTCATTTTAGCTCTTAAATTTCAAATTCTTTTTTTTTTTACAAAGTAATGTTTAAGTTTGCTTTGTTAAATAATAGTGTTAGTTTTTGTTAGAAGGGGAAAGAAATAAATAAAAATTGAAAATTTAGATGCAAAAAAAAAGAATTAGATTGGTTTAATATGTCATATAATTCGATTTTAGTTTTTAAATTTCAGTTTTTTTTTTATAAAATGATTTTTATAATAATATTAGTTCTTGTTAGAAGGGGAAAAAAATGAATAAAATGGAAAATTTAGAAAATTTATATGCAAAAAAATTAAGTTAAAGTATAATGTAATTAAAAATTAAAAAATGTAATTTGTTTTCAATTTTTCATTTTTAATTCCAATTTTTTTTTCTGCTGAAAATCAATCTTTTTTTTTTTTGTTAAAGTCGAAATAGAAATGATATGCTTTTCGAGGTTGTTGTTGACATTAAAAGAATCTGTCACATGGAAATATTTCTGAAAACGACAGGTTTCAAAAAGAAAAAGAAAAAAAAATTAGATTTATTGATAAATTCAATTATCTCAAATCTTAAGAGGGATAAAAGAAGAAAAAGGAAGAGAAAGGAATGAAAGAGAAGAATTGAAGCGCAAAAATAACAAATGGTACCATACGGGCACTTTATGATTGATAAGAACCATTTAAGATTGTTATTCAAGAATTATTTGAGAATATAAATTCGGGAATTATTTATTTTGTTTTATTATTCGAAGTATACTTGAGAATATTTGTAAGGGTAACGGGAGAGCGCGGGATGATGATAATGATTGAGATGAAGGGAAGAGTTTTGTTTATGATAAATTAAAAAGTGGAATAAAAGTTGAGAAATATTATCGTTTTTTTTTTTTGATTAATTTGAAGTAATTTTTTAAAATCATTTAATTCTTTATTCGTTTATCTTTTTTTTAAAAACATTGAAATAGTTTTCTTTCTTTTTTTGGTAATTACTAAATTTCTTTTTTTTTTTATTGAATGTTTTATATTTTAATAATTTAGTTTTAGGTTTGAATGATAATTATTTTCGAAAAGAAAAAACTGTCACTTTTGAATTTTAATGATAATTATTAAGAAATTATTACTTTACTTTTGAAGTTTATTGATAATTATTAAAAAAAATTATTACTTTACTTTTGAAGTTTATTGATAATTATTAAAAAAAATCACCACTTTACTTTCAAGTTTTAATGATAATTATTAAAAAAAACTATTACTTTACTTTCGAGTTTTAATGATAATTGTTAAAAGACTATCACTTTGTCGTTGTGTTACGATGATAATCATCAAAAAAAAAAACTGTCACTTTTGAATTTTAATGACAATTATTAAAAAAAAAAAACAATCATTTTTCAGTCATAACAACAATGATTAATTTCAAAATTTTTAATAATAAATTGACAAGAAAACAAAAAAAAAAAAAAAAAGAAAAAAACAATCGAAACATACTTACTGAAATTGGAATTTTCGTTTTTTTTTCTTTTTTTAATTTTGTTTATAAAATAATTTGCATAAAATAAATGAAAAGAAAATAAAATTAGAATTAAAAAATGATGAAAATTTTAATAATTTATAATCAAATCTTTCAGTGTATGTGTTATTCATTTTGTGCAGTACCATTTTCATTGTTTGTTTTTGGCATAGAAATTTACTACAGTACCTGTCCATGGATTAATGATTACTATCGGGTTGATATTTTACGCAGGGATTATAATTCAATGGAATTATATTTCGATATGCAATGTGGTATTAGTGGTTGGGCTTTAGCTGGGGTATGTTTATTGATTAGAATGATTTTTTTGAATAATTTAAAAATCAAATAATTTTAAAAATTTTATTAAAACAAAAAATGGAATATAAATTGATAGAGAAAAAAAAGAAAAAAAAACAAAAAATTGATTTTCAAATAAATTTGAAAATATTTCAAACTTTTCTTTTTATTTATTCATTTTTAAAAATGAATTATTTTAAAAAAATGCTTTTTCTTTTTTCCTTTTTTCTTTTTTTTTTTTATTCATTTTAGATATTATCGCTACTATCGTGTAGTTTATTTATCAGCGAAGGTTTAGTGAGCGCATTTTTTCGATCACAATCCGCTCGACAACATGATAAGATGAATGCCTTTCTCTAATGCTCGCATTAATTATTCAAATCATTTTCTTTTTTTTTTTTAAATTTTTATTAAAATTAATTTTAAAATTTTTTTTGATTGTTATTTTTATCATATTATGAATTTGTTGCAATTATGTGATGTATATTGTTTGCTCAAAAATCGATTTATTGACATTCCAATTCTACTTTTTATTCTCTTTTCTCTTTTTTCTTTTTTGTCCACCTTTAATTGTTAATAATAATCATTGTTATGATAATAATGATAATGATAGTAATAATAATGATAATAATAGTGTTAACAATAGTCCTGTTTATGTGCATATCATTTTCGCATATTAAACTTGTTTTTTTGTATTAAATTAATGGAATTAAATATGAAATTAGCCATAATTGAAATAATATTCGATATTTGATATAACTTCATTTTTTATTACACACACAATTCATTTCACATTGTAATCAATAAAGTTATCAGTCGTAATTTTTTTTTTTTGTTTTTTTGGTGAAATTTCATTCAAATTCATAACAAATATTATTTAGGCTAATTATTAATTTAATTAATGGAATTATATCATTATTAAATGAATGAATAATAAAGAATGATTTTTGATCGGTGTAAAAATTTCTTTTACTCTAAATTTTTACTCTAAAAAAAAAAAAAAGGAGAAGAAAGTGGAAAAGTAGTTAATAA